GAACACTGCCCTGGGCTGTGTTCTTGTCACTCCTTCCTCCTTCATCACTGATTGAGTAATCAGTAAGAAATCCTCCTGGAGACAACTGACTGAACATAGGAAGGGGGCAACTATTTGCTAGGAATCTTCCTTGTTAATTGGAACGGTATCTTAATAATCCAACCTGTCACCTTGGATATGTGGAACACAGGGCCCTAAAATACAAGTCAAAGTAATGGTCTCATCACTTGTCTTCATGGATTCAAGAGCATTTATGGATGTTTTATGGCACTGTACTGTGAGAGAATTAACTGCATGTTGCCTTCATATAAGGGGAACAGTTGCTCATCAAGATTTCCTCAGTCTTTCTGTAGTTTTTAAGACTTTGCACAGTATGTAAACTTGTACATTCCATTGTGGCAGATGGATAGATGCAGCTTCCAAAATACTTTTAGCTAGAAAATAATGAAGAAATTACTCAAGGTTATGAAATAATATCTTTGCAACCATATTTGTTTGTGTCTGAGGTGTAAGGGGACTTTTTTAAGGGGACTTTTGAGGGTTTGGTTTTTTGGGTTTGGTTTTTTTGGTTGGTTGTTTTATTGTTTTGGGGATTTTTTGTTTTGTTTTGCTTTGCTTGTTTTTTGAGGGGTTTTGTGCATGCTATCTTTCTCCCAGTTGCACCTATTTTATTGAGTAGAACTAGGGACAAAGTCCTCCCATTTCTTGTTGCACTGTACCATTTCAGATCCTGACAGATTGTAGGGATATATCTCTCCTGTCAAATAACACTCATAGAAACGTCTTTAATTTTTTTCTCTGACCTTACTAAGCCTAGAAAATACAGCCTGTGAACCCTAACTATTGCTGTATCAAACCTGCTGAAACACTAATCAAACAGCACGTTGGCTGGCTTCCAAAGACTGCAACAGTGCTCAGAAATGACCCAAATAATTTTTATTAATGGATTTAACATTACTTTCAAAAGAGACAAATCATTTAATAAAATGTGTGTTCAGTTGTGTTCATTAGTGCTAATCAGGAGTTCATTAAACCTTAATCATAGCAATTTCGGGCCACTAATATTCAGGTAGTTTAATAAAGGCCCCAGCAGTAAAAGAGCACACTTTGCATATTCAGGAACATATTTATTCCTAGCAAACCCTACTCAAATATACAGTGTCCATTCAGGTGAGTATCAGGCATGTGACAGTATCAGATGAAAGAAAGAAAAGTATACATGGCAAAATACCATCCACAGTGTTTTAACTGCAGCACAGGCTCTACTTTTATATTATGAAGTTTTGTCACACAGACCACTGTTAATGACTTGATTGGGAGTACCATTTGAGCAAGGAATGCATCAAGCTGAAACTTTTGATGATTGGAGTTAGCCTCTGTAGTGGAAACAGCAGGACAAAGTCTGAGTACACTGGTAATGCCTATTATAACCTTTTTGAAAGGCTGATTTATAAATCAGCATATTGAATAATACTGTGTCTCCAGTTCACAGAGTAATTAACATATGTAAATTTTCAGCGTATGTGTGGTTCTACTGAAGTCACTGCTTCTAAAGTCTTGTTCAAAGCACATGAATGTGGCTTAGTAATTTTCCAAGATCTCATGCTGCCTTCCAGGGAAGGCTGTTACCAGCTGAACAATTCTCTCTGGATGTGTGAAGCCCAAACTGTGCTACAGACAACAATGAATAAAAATGCTTCACTTTTTACTATATATATATATTAAAAGTCACTCTGAATTTCATGCTTTTCACTGAAGCCTGAGGAATAAGAGTGACTTGTATCAATATACACATTCTGTGTCAGCATTACTATGTGCCAGAAATATCATGAGCTGGTTCATTCCAGTTAAAATTTTATGCTAATGCAAGTTTCTACAAGCATGTCAGTCCTAATGGCTTTTGTGAAGGAAACAAGAGTTAACAGTTGGTTAGAAGGATGAAATTTTATGCGGAAACCTGGAAATCCTTGTTGGCTCTTCTCAAGTTCTTTCCATTGAAATCCAGTTGTAATTTTAAGAGGCTGCTTTCTATACTTTAGGTGACCATAAGTGAAGCAGGCATGTGAATCTCTTCCCTCCAAGAAGTGTAGTGTACTGTTTTATCATCTCAGTGCAGTAACATATCATCATATAGTGGGTTATGCTTCAAATCTTGTCCAGGTAAGAAAATTATTATTTAACTCAAGTTGGGTCCCTACCTTAATCTGCTTTTACACTCTTCTATCATCTCTTTTTTTCTGATTTAACAGTTCCCATGGATGGTGTTGACCCATTTCAGTGAGATGACTTGATTTTGTATTGAATTTTTTCCTCTAATAAAACATTCTGCCAGAAAGAAGACAATGATTTACTTCTTCCCACCTCTTTAGATTGAACACCATATAGAAAGTATTTCCATTTTTTCTTGCTGTAACCACCCCTTTCTGATTTTTTTTTCTTGAGTAGATAAGGAAATGAAAATGCTGTGAGAAGGTATATTCTGCAAAAACTGCATGTAGTAAATGAATGTCCAGACATTTAATGTAATAGAATTCTAAGTGTTTCTGGCTAAGATAGCTGTATTCATCATGTCTTTACTATGCCCTGTTGTATAGGTAAACAAATAGTATATTTGTTTTCTGCTCTTCTCTTGACTGGAGTCTCATGTAATGCACTTTGACATCTCTTTACAGTTCTGCTTGAAATAAAGCTGACATTACAACAGGCTGATGATGCTTTAATTTACTGCACAGGAGCTTACCACCATCTCTAAGAAGCAGTATGGGTGTGTTGTCAAACCTGTACTGTGTCACTGGCATCTCCAGCCCAAAAGGAAAAGGTTAAAATTTTAGCCTGGAATGTTTTCTACTCCTCTCTATTGTCATATGACATAGAGAGCAAACTAATCTAGTGGGGACAGAGAGATCTGCACACATGGGTTGGACCCCACAAACAAAAATAACATGCTCCATTCCTGGAAGTTTTCCCTTCTCTTCCATCTTTTGTATTCCTTTGAAACTTACAGGTACGTTTCATATGTAATACAGCAAAGTCTGAAAGAAGAGGTTGGATAAGGCCTGGAGGGAGAAAATAGCTCAAACCATGCACAGTCTGGATTTGTTGAATGATCCAACACAGTAGATTTCAAGGACTTCTTTAAATAATATGAAATAATAAGGTAAGGGGTTTTGTCAAGTCAGAAGAAAATTAAAGCAGAGGTTTTTGGGAAGTCCCAACAGCACAAGCTCTCTGACAGACACCCCTTGTGATATGCAAGCTGTTAGCAAAAAGAAAAGCAGCTCAGCCTATAAAAGGCTCATGGTGGACTGGCATGAAATTCTGTGGTGCTGTAACTTTTTAAAACCAAGAAAGGGGCAAAACAAAAAATGAAGAATTGGTCCAGTCTGCATATGAGGACTCAGGTAGATACAAGTTCTTCTAAACCCTGTCTGGAGTCATTGACAGTGCTTCAGCAGAGGAAATCCAAGCTCTGTTTTGGTAGATGATCTTTTTTTCTTCCGTTATTTCTTATTTCTTTTTTTATTTGTTTATACTGGGGAAAAAAAAAGCATTCAGCTTAGCTAAAGAGCAAGACTCTCCATGAGCAGCTCTAACAGGCCTATTTTCTGTGGCCTGGGTTACCTGAGGTACATTGTCTAGTGGACCAGTACTGGAGTATAAATAACACCATTTGTGAAGCAAGAATGGAAAGAATATAATTAGGAATGCAAGCTGGTCATAAAAGTTATATACTGGCATTGCTCAGGGCATAAAACAATTTAAATACAATATTTCCTTGCAAAATACTAAGAATCTAAGCTTAAAATACTAATAAAATATTTGGTTTAAGACCAACAGTAAGGGGATATTTGGAACAGATGAATCCTATGTTTTTATATAGGCTAATAAAACTGAACTGGATATATTTCTAAAATTGCTGCTAAGGGGGGCTGGATGATGTGGAGGCATTGCTAACATGGTGTAGAACCATTAGGTCTTTCTCACTGTAGTTCAGGAAATCTCAATATGAAGTGAACCTTCTCTTTCTCCTTAATGGCTGTTTGATGTCCTGCATGAAATCTGTGTGGGTGGGTTTTCAGTTCTGATATTCAGCTGGTAAATATCCACACAGTGAAATAAAAGTGTGTTAATTTGCTCTTGTATCTTCTACAGAAGCCATTGCAGGGAGGGCTCAGAGCACTGAAGCTGGGCACATAGTCCATGTTACCCATCATGTATGATTTAAATAGCTCAAAATAAACATTTGTTTTGTCATATGTTTTAGAAGACTATTTATAATTGCCTTTAAGTTGGAAACAGGTAGGCATCAAGCAGAAATGTCTTTCATTAAGTTGGCAACATGATCTCCTTGTTCTCCAGGAGATTAATATCCCCATTCTTGAGGTCCTTTCTAGACATTTTAATGTTTGCTATAGTGTCCTCCGTTTAAAAAAGTTAATTGTTAACTTGTCTTTAAGGGGCCTCAAAATGAGTTTTATTCTCCCAAGTCCTTTCAGCTTGACTGTGGGCTTCTGATTTCAAAGGGATACTTTTTCTACTAAACAATTTCTGTCTGTACTCTGACTCACTCTAGGAGAGACTAGTGAAAATGGTGGGAAAAACCCACTGAGATGAAGGGTTTGTCTTTTTTTTTTTAATTAACTGATAAAAACAACCAAAAGAAACGTATTTGAAGTATAAATAAGACAGTTTATTTGAAGTGTAAGATATTGAAGGAGAAAGTTAATAAAAAGATATGTCAGGAAAACATCAATGAAATATAGAAACACTAGGAGGAAAAGGGGTAGTAAATGACATATGACAAACCAGTTTAAATATGTAGAATATAAAAAGAAAAGTGCACAAGGAATCTGCAGTCAAGTGAAGGGTCAGCAAGGCTCTCGGAAAGCCTGAATGAAGTTATAAGTTAACGAGGTTAATGTTGCAAAATCCAAAATTGTTTGTTAATTTGTTTGTGTTATTTTTCCAGAAAAGCACTTGAATACCCCAGGCAAGAGATGATGATAGGTATTTCTTCTGTGAGGAAGGTAAGGGTTATAATGAATTAGATATCTGAAAATTAAAACAGTAGCTGAATTGTATCCACAAGTATTCAAAATAGGTAAGGAAAAGTTCTTAATTGCAAAATGAAGAGGAAAGTAATGTGTAGATAAATGAATAGTGTTTTCTGCAGCTTGCTTTGCTGGAGCTGTGATGTGGTAGTTGTATGTTGTCATAGCAATGCCTTATTTTAAGAAAATGGGAATTAAGTTTGCAAACACTTCATCAATTGTTGGATATGGCAACCTGTATATATATGTTGTTTGGTAAAAGAATATACCACCACAGTAATTCAACAGAATTTGAAAGTGGGCCTAAGGGATTTGGAATCACACATTGCAGTGAAAAATTATAATGAAAGTAGTACTCTTGTATCAACTGAAATCCATGAAAATCAGCCCTAAAGTATTGAGGGCTTTTGTTGGGGTTTTTTTGTTTCTTTGGTTTTTATTTTCTTGCTTGTTTGTTTTCCTAGTAAACATGTCTGGATAGGCATTAGGAGAAGTTTTACAATTTAAACATGTGGCATCCAAGAGTACAGGTTTTTCTGCAGCGAGTGGGTTTCAGCTAAGTCACATTGTCTTAATTCTTTTCATTTTGCCTTCCACCCCTTTACTGCAAAATGTCTGCTGGAAAGGTGCGGGTGTGAGACTCTTTGTTAAACAGGGAAATTTTATCTGAAAATCTGAACTAATTTAAAGCAAGGATGCTGTAAACTGACTTGATATCAGGGAATTAAATGACTTTGGAATCCCCTTTGTAAAGAACCAGGGCCATAAGAGTAGATTTATGTCTATAAATGTATAATGTCGCTTTAGCCAGACATTATAGCCTGAGTGTCAAAGGCTTGTGGTGAGTTGCTCACAGGGAGTCTGAAAACCTGTGTATGCATGGGCATTTTGTAACACCAAGAGGCTGTAGGCAGATGGCTGCAGGGATTTGGGTTGGTGAAGAACTCGAGCCCTTAATATACAGAGAGGAGTACTTAAAAAATCGAGTAGCTGATCAGCACTTTACCTGAAGTGCACACTCTAGGTTTCATGGTTTGGTTTTTTTTTTCTTCCTGCTATAATCTATCTTAAGCGCTTGTTGGTTTTTATCTTATGTTTAATTTTCATCTTATGTTTGATTTTCATTCTAAGGATTTTTTCAAGTGAGGGGTTTTAATCACACTTGGAGAAAAATGGAACTGTTTTTTTCTCATTTCTGTCCAATTGGCACTGCATACAGATGGAAATATGTGACTAATATAATGGGTCAGTGCATTCCTATGGCTTGAATCAAAAGAGTCTAGTGAAACTAAAGGCCCTGGCTTTACACATTTCTTTTTGATCCTAGCCCAAGGCAGACCTAAAGATCAAAGCATGCCATGTCAACAGGTATAAAGATGATATATTGCCTCTCTGCAGTATTCTCCGAGCCTGATTTATACTGCATGGTGCACAGAACTAGATGGATGATAGAGTGTAAATGAAGTGTTGGTAAATATTTGAATCATTGGGGATGAATTTTGGAGGAGAAAAACCAGCTAGCTGATTCTTTGATTTGTCATTCTTAGGCCTTATGAGATGTCAAAATGAATTGTTTTTTATGCATTTTAGAGCACTGACACCTCTACTTGTTCACATAGATTTGAGTTGAAGGAACGTTTCTTCATACCATCTTCCCTCTAGCAGCTAAGGAATTCCTTTGATAGAGTTTCACTGATTTAGAAGAGGCCTTCTTCAAAAGCTCAATGTTTTCAAAAGCTAAGTCCTCATGTACAGCAGTTTTATTTGCTATTTTCTTTAGAATTAAACTTAGTAATCACTAGCTATGAGTTACAGATAACAGCAATGTCCATTTTGTGAAATGCAGGCTTATTAGGAATAATTTCCATCCTGGGATGGGGAGAGAATAGCACTTCTCACACAACCTCCAGAAAGGAGGCTTTTTGCTTTTGTTTCCTTGGAGATAGAAACAGAATTAGATATAACTATCCTAGTTAAAAATGCTTTTTGGGAATTGTAGTTCAAGACCCTCCTACTCACATTTCCTTGAAGCAGGCTACAGATGGAGCCTGCAAAACTTGTGATCTGCCTGAAAACAAGTTCTGGTTGTGGTCAAGATGTAGCCCATCCTGAGGTGCTGCAAGGAGCAAGAGAGGCCCTTCAACTGTGGTTTGCATGAGGTAGGTGAGCAATATACTGAGACACAGTTCGTTTTGACTTTGCATTCTTCTGCCTGAGGACATAATTGAGAATAACTTTTTTTAAAGGAAATTAAATTTTGACCAAAATTGTCTTTCAAAAAAAAAAAAAAAAAGAAACTATGTTCAATGGCTTCACCTCCAGATAGGCCCACTAAATATTAAATATCTTTGTCTATGTGTCAAGCAACTGGTTTTCAGGTTCCTTTAAATACAGATTTCCAAAGGAAGACTCTTTCTATTAATACACCAGAATAAAGTATATGTAATAAAGATTAAAGGCCATGAAGTATTTACAAAAAAAACCTGTGCAAACAAATGTTGCCATTTTGACACTTCCAATCAAAAATCACAGTGGGCATCTGGTGGGCATTGTGCCCATCCTACTGAAACATTTTAAGGATCTCGTGAGTTACATTGGTGCAGGAAGGCAGACAGCAAAAATGAAAAACAAAAAGCAAAAATTGGATTCAGATTATTTATACAAAGCTCTTTTGGAGCTTTACTACCTTTACTATGCCCAAAAGCACACTAGAAACTTCATGGGCACAAACAGAAAATGTCTCTGCCTCTGAGAGTTTGCTATGTAATTAAATATCTTGGTTCATGTGATTCCCAAGAATTAACTTGTGGGGTGAGAAGTGGAAGGGCTACATTTACTGTAATACAGTGGTACAACAATATTCCTTACTGCATTTCTAAATTGAGTTGCATCCAATTCTTTCTAACTGTTTTTAGATTCCAGTTACTGACATAAGCCTCACTTCTGCTGCGTTGTAGACAAGGAATGGCTTATGGGGGAATTTAAATTAGGAGAAGATTATGGTCTATTTAATGGGCTGATATTCTCTATGTAAGGAGCAATGTGGAGTATTTGAGCAGGAAAAAAACAAAGAGAAGACCCCAAATTAATTAGCTAGATTAGTTGTGGTGAAGCCACACGAACTAGACTGAAACTTCAGGGCTCACTTCTGAAACTTGAGTTACTTCTCAGGACTGTGGATGTCTTTGGCTCACCACATTAGATATGGGTATAAATTATGCCATGAAAGCCTGTAGTTATTCATTCTGGAGCTCCTAAGATGCTTTGATGTGCATGGGTTAGATGGTGAATGTACCCTAGCTGAGCTGGCAATATCCCACAGAGGGCAGATACACGCATATAGCATGAATATAAATTCTCTTTGAGGTCTTAGAGAGAAACAGGGTTTACATACAGATCTGACAAACTATTTTGGGTTTCTGCAGGAGGATCTGAAAAGTGGAGTGTAGAACAGGAAGAGGCTGTATATGGAGCGTCACTTTGAAAGTTTCAGGTAGAAACCTGCATGTGCTTTTACAAAGAATGAATAAAGTAACATTTTGTATGGGGTGGAAACAGGCTGGGAAAGGTCATGGTACTGAGCCTGGTGTTTGTAGTGGCTTCGTTTGAAGGTGGAGGTAAATGAATGGGACTTGAATTGATTTGTCCTTGGTCCAAGGGGACTGGAATGGAGCCAGGTCCATGCCATGGACTCTCTGCCCATTGTGCTTTTCTTGTGTCTATAAATTGCTCACATGTGAGAGGTATATATTTATAACAGAGATAAATAAAATTTTATTTATTTATTTATTTATTTATAGCCATAGGCCTATGGGAAGCTGACAATTGAAGGATTCTGTGTGAAGGAGCACTAGTCAATATGTTTATTGTCTTCCAGATAATGAGTGACAATCCCACCATGCATTTTATTAGGCCATGTTAATTTTCTCTCTGTTCTCAGAGCTATAGAATTTTAGTGATGTTTGTTGTTTTGTGGTTAGTTCTATTGGTTTTTTAGGGCTTTTTTTTCCATGTTTCTTTTAATTATTTTTCTTGCAATTTCTGTCTCCACTTCTAAATGAGGAAAAGAATTTAATCTTTTGTAATGACAATTAAACAGTTTGAAAGATCATAGCCTGGGTGTAATAGCCAGATTCTTGGAATTAATTAACTCAGAAATTAAGTGAATAATTCAAAACAAATAGCTTTCTTGAGAAATAGACCCTCCAGCATTCTTAATATTTTCACTGGAAAGATCATATTGTTGTCATCGTTGTTCCTGTCAGAGCAGATACTACTGGTTCCAGCTGAAGCTTTCTTTCTGAGTTAGTTCTTGTTCTCCAGCACACTCAGAAATATGAATGCATCACATTTTTTCATTTCTTTTCGATGGATATTTTGGTCCTGCTTTTTTGACCTGTCCTTTTGAACTTGGTTCACGTAGCTGGGTATTCAACAACACCTTGAGCTCATGGAGGGGAGAGTGATTTATGGTGAGGTTTTGGACCAGCATGTTGAGACAGCTGTGATCTGAGTCTAGATCAGCTCCATCCTGATTTTTAAGGAGGACAGGCTTCAGCTGGGGTCTTCATCCCACATTTTAAGTGGTTTCTTAGAAGGAGTGTGCAAAAAATAAGGATGAAGATTTTGTCTCACGGTTTCGTAGAAAGTCACACCTGAAGCAGAACTCTGTAGCTGTAGTTTTTCTGATGAGCTCTAATAGAAGAACATTGTGTATAACTTGAGTTTTCCTAGTTCTGGAATCATCTGCACTAGAAGCTTTAATGTTTTGTAGTCCAGAGATAACAAATGTGTATTTCAGGCCCCTCCTTTATCACTATGGAGGGGCATCAGCTAGAACAGTAGAGAGCATCATCTCCACTGTAATATTCTACATCTGTAAGATACTAAAATTAATGAGGGAAATGGAGAAAATAGAAGGCAAAATAAAACAATAGCTATTGTTGGTCAGAGACATGAAGCAAGTTAGTGGTGGAATAGGATTAAAATTTGGTTCACTGGAAATTCCCTTCAATAGTAGAGTCATGGACCATGTGTTTTTCTTAAAATGGCTTTTATATTTACTGATATTCTTTGAAATTTTTTGGTTTTATCCTAAACTATACATTGTGTAAAGTCTCTATAGCTTTTATTGAGCAATAATTCTTTGTGATTAATTCATTAAATAAAATACCATGGACTGCATGACATAGATATACATACTTTTACTTTTTGAAAAATGTGCTTGAATTTCATATGCTGTTTCTTCAAATTTTGTCAATTCTTTCTGTGAATGTTTACCTTCTAAAAACTATTTCCTAGGTCTTTGGGGGAGGCAGAGAGTGGTAGGAAAACATGTCAAAGACCCTTCACTGAAAATTGGTAGGGCTATTTATAGAGTTAAATATTACTCAATTGTACTCGGCTCTCTCAGCTCTTTCTAAGGTTGTGGAATTGGAAGCAGGAGAGAAAATTACTTATCTGTGTTATGTATATTTAACAGTGTTATTGTGCCTTCCCCCCAAGTCCCTCTGGGCTGACTCCAAAGCTGCTAGAAATCTTTGAGGGGCTGTGCAATGAGAGAGCTCCCAAATGAAAGGGGAAGACACTAAATTAGTTTGTGGTAGCAGTTTAAAGAGACAGCAAACAAAGATATTTTTGCCAATATATTTATCTACGATCATGCTTTTAAAATATTATTTTGTGATTAAATTTTTAAAAATTGTTTATCCCTATCATCACTTGCAGATTATTACATGCTATTTACTTAAAAGAAAGTCTAGACAATTTGCCTAAATATTTTGGGGATGTGTGTATGCTTATTTAAGCATAAACTCTGGATTATAGTAGTGAAAGAGTTAGCTGCAAAGTGAGTAGTTGTTCAAGAATGTGATGCTGCAGGTGCCAGTACAAAGGTTGCAGAAAATTAACCAGGGGGCAAGAAAGGGTCACACTAGTTTCAGGATATTTTTCATTGCTTACTATATTGAACATTTGGAATTCTTGTACAAAAAGAAAATTTATCTTCCAAATAAAAATGGAAAGGCAAAAAAACATTTTAAGACTACTATCTGAGACAGCATATATTTGTCTGGAACAAAATACAAGCAATATAGTCCTGCCTTTCTGTTTAACAAGATAACCCAAACACCTAAATATAAATGAAGAGAATCTTGAGTAAAAAACAAACTTAATGATGGCACAAAGAATAGGAATGATTTATTATTTGAAACAATATTCCAAATTAGATCAAGCTAGAAAGACAGGTAAATAAAATGCATTTGATTCTAATTTGTCATACATTCCCCCCTCTTTAAATTTAAAAGCAAGATACGCTACAAAGTATTTTAAAGATAATGAGAGGATTTTAATTTTGTTAGAAAAAAAATCATTCTATAATGTCTGCAGATGACTAATTATGTTGTGTTCCTGGAGGAACTGAGTTGCTCATCTGCTTTGAAATTGGAAAGATAATAAAGCCATTTAATGTTGTAAAACTTAAATTCTGAACAATATCTTTACCTACAATTGCTTCAAAGTTATAGAAGCCTCAAGCTAGACATATATAAACACTAGCAGATTTTGTAGTGATTTTTGTTGTGTGTTAAAGAAACAACAAAAAAACACCCCATAACAAAACACCTTTTCCACACAATTACACTTGTGAAACATCACCCTTGAAATGTAACACAGACAAAGATTTATTTCTCTGCCATTTGTTCCCTGCATTAATCTTCAGGTCTTTTAATAAAGGTGGGGAACAAAGGGTGAGGATGACTCCCAGAAATGGTAATGGGATATACGGAGCTCTTCGCATGTAGGTCAGTAGATCAAATCCAGCCAGGATGAATGTTACCTCAAACCTTTTCCATCCTGTTATTACTCTGCAGCTCTAAGGAATATAAACTGAGCAATGCTTCTGCTTTCTAGTAAGCTGGTGACTGGTGCTGGGAAAAGCTACTGCCCCTCTGATCCCAGGTCATGCTGAGGGCAGGAATATGGGATTTGACTCCATGCCCAGCTACTCTGACAAGTGACTGAAACATGTGGATGAGAGCAGCAGTGAAACTTGCTTTAGTGCTGCCTCAACTGCAGTGTTTTTCTTCTTGATCTATGAAAGATTTTAGCTCAACCCCCTCAGCTCAGTAGTAACATGGTAGATGAGAGAAGAAATAAAAATAGAAGTGGGATGTGTCTAGATCCCAACTGAGAGGAAGAAAACCTACAAAATTAAATGAGATATCTAGCACAAACATAGACCTGTGAGTAGGTGTAGCCTCTGAGAGTAGGG